TACTGTTTCTTGTTGCGCCTAAGACAGCCAGGGGCATTTTTAAAGAAATAAATTTCTAAAAGAAATAAAAATGCACATTTTGCAGAGGGGTACCTTGAAAATGGATGGGAAGGAAAAGAGATAATGTGGTACGTGTGCTGATTTATTGGGTTTGGATCCAAGAGACTCACCAATGTTAGACCAAGTCCCTGCTACCCATGAGACTTCACTGAGCGGCCCAGGACACATTATTCAACAAGTTAGATACCTATTGCAAGAATCCAAAGGCCATTGCAACAGAGTCAATGCATATACCATGGCAACAAGAGTGTGGAAGTAAAACACTGGTGTACAGGTATGAAATCCTGATGCACATGAGAGTCATACATGAGCTATTTGCACGGTGTTGATAACCCTGTGGAAACAGGCGCACAACACAGACGAGCATGACATGGAATGAAGTGTGCTTTAACAATGCCACAGAGTTGTGCATGGTTCTGTGTAAGCCTTTGAATGAAGGACTTTGAGACATTGTCACTTCATGCATGGCTGGCCAGGATCATAGGAAACTGACTGATGCCAGCTTGGACTAGCCCAGTATTTTCCGTTCAGACTGGTAGGAACCTCTCTGCTCTCAGAGGATTTCCTCTTCACCTGTTCCTTCAGGTTGGAGATGCCAGGAATGAATCTGGCAACTTCTAAACACCAAGTATGTGCTCTGGCACTGAGCTATGCTCTTTTTGTATACTGGGAGGGATTACTACAGAGTTATGTAGAAGTTAGGCTGTTAAGTTGGGGAGGAGTGTTGAGCTAGGGAAAAGTAAGCTGCTAGTTTAAATGCATGCTATCATGTGATTGGCGGGGCTTACCAGTGAGGGTTTTTTAGTCTTGCTTTTTAGGATTGCTGCCAAAGTATTACCTTTGCATCACAGAACAGTGTTTGAGATTCCTGACAATGTGGCTCAGCTTCCTAGAGAGGGACCTGTCAGAAATGCCAATGGTACCTGCTTGGGATCTCACATCTTTGTCTGCGTTGGCTTGGGCTGAGGAGTTCACCCATACTGGGAGAACCACTGAGTGTTCTGGTGAGAAATGGATCTCTCTTTAGGGAAGGCCGAGTGTGCTTAACTGGTGACCATAGGGAGGGCTAGCAGCAGAAGCTGGACAAAGTATAAGCAGAAAGATGGGATGAGTCAAATGGAACGGTCTCTGTTAAGCAACAGGTGAACAAGCTGAAATCTTAATGCTCAAGTAGTTATGAGGCTTAGGATTGTGCCTCCAAGAAAGTTCCACACTAGGTGATTTTCATGGAGGGTAAGAAGATCCTCAGGCTGCTGAGGGCACTCATTCATAGAATAATCATAAGCTGGAGATGACTTGACAATGCGTAACAGCAAGAAGGACGGAAGGCAGTCAGCTATCCAGGCACCCATGTTGCAGTCCCAGGTTTTCATGGGTGGGGACTTGAGCCAGAACTGAATATAAAAGAAGGGAAATAACATCCAGACATTGAACCCAGTCCTGGGTTCTGACTGAAGGGTTCCACATACACCCCATCCTTGGAGATTAACAAGGTCATTGCATGCTTTTGCTTCCACCAAATTTACTTTGGCTGCAACAAGAAATTAAGGCACTTTGAAAGTAATTCATTTCATTGTGTTTTCTGATAGGCAGGTGATATTTTGAGGTATGGAAAAGGTTTTGAAAACACAAAATAGGTCTTCCTAATCTCTCCATGCAATGGTAGACCTATGAATAGTGAAGAAGGCTTTTATATCTTATACTGGAAACACAGATCTAAATAGCCTGTGACAAGTTCTAGCTGACCATATTTGAAAGGATTAAAAAGAGAAGACTTTCATCAGAGGGAATCTTTCTCTTTCTGAAGAAGTGTCAGAAGATTCCTCTGTTTGAAGAGCTGTCTGATCCAGGACCACTTTAAAAATAAAGGATCATAAGAAGGGAACACAGGGAATGTGATGAAGCCCACCTGGAAATTGGCACGTCGGCAGCAAACTGAGCAGGCATGCACAGATCACCAGCTCAGTCTTCCCAGCTATGTAATGTATTTCCATTTAAATATAGGAGTAACTTACAAATATGTATCAGTACAGATCAATTAGCGTATGCTTTTATTGTTGTTGCAAATCACTATTTGTTCATTTATACCCTGCCTTTTTTTTTCTTTCAAGTAACACAAGGTAGCTTACATAATTCTCCTCCTCTTCTCAATCTTCTCCTCTGAACAGCCCTGTGAGGTAGGTTGAGCTGAGGGTCCGTGACTGGCCCAAAGTCACCCACTTAGCTCCATGGCTGAGTAGGTGACTTTTAGACCACAGATCTCCTGAGTTCCAGTCTCACAGTATTAACCACTACTACGCTCTCCCTTATTAACTCCCTTGGCAATGCATAAGGACCATCCTACATTTCTTAGCTTAGGGAAAGCTATTATTAAATATGGACAGCACTATATAAATCTATTAAGCCAATAAATTAAATAAAAATAGACAAATAGTTCCAGTTCAAATACAAAACGGAGAAATAGTTTTGTATCTGTGAAGGCCTTACCTCTTTTTGCTCTTATACTTTTCTTTATGTACTTTCTTAACTGTCTGCATTTCTCTTCACTTTTCTAGTAAGCTGCAATACAAAACAGTTGAAAACAATTTTCCATTGCTGGGAAATTATGGTGTAATCTGCAGTTAATAATCAGGATTCATTCTGTGCATGCCTTAGATTGGGCCTTGATCTGACATTGGATTCCGACCCATCAGTTGAAGACCAGCGAATTAACATTTTAAAATGCCTGAGCAGAGAAAGGAACAGCCTTGTTCGTTGCTTTCCTGGCAACTGCTTTGCGAAGCAATGCACAAACAAATGAAGAAAATAATACAACAGCAACCGATAGGTTGAAGACATATAATTTGTCTGATTTAGGCAGGAATTTGGGCTTTGATCCTGATTTGCATACCTTTTCCAGTACTAAATGCCTAACAGTTACACCTTTTCTTATCATAGACTGATTATACTATACAAGAGATGAAAGAGAAAGCAGTTGATGCACACACGCACACGCACCATTTGTTCACCTTTGCAGCAGAGCAGGTAAGTGGAGAAGCCTGCAATGGAATGCACAATTGAAAGAGCAAGACAGACTCATCCTGCAAGCAGTACAGTTCCAGAAGCAGCCTGGGAAAGATAATAGCAGCCAGAAGCAGGCAACGGTCAGCAGCTGCAAGCATCATTATCAAGGCCAGTGTGACCACTGGGAAACCATGGGTGGCTGCTCCCAGTATGAGGTGACACTTGCTATGCGACCACCTTCCCCCACCCAGTGCTCTAAGCAACACCAGGTAGCATGGCCTGGCTGCCATTTTAATCTCCCAGAACTCCCCTGGTGTAACATATTACAGGAATTTCAAATGGTGGCCCTTAGCCACCCAGTCCTGCTGCCTTCTCCAGGCACTTCTCCACCTGGGCTCACCAACGGGGGTGGGGTGGGTCTTACCTGAGCATACTTTGTCTAAGGTTTCATCATCCTGAGCCAGTCCTGTGCTCTGCTTTCCATGAAAGAAATGTACTCCATAAAGAGGCTCAGTTGGTGCAAACTTTGATCTCTCTCCTGTTCTCTGATATTTATCAGAGGTACTTAGAGATACATTTGACAACCCACTTCTTATACCAATGATCACTGTCTGGATCTTCGCACATTTTCCATCGCTGGAGGTGTCATTCAGCTACATATGGTGGCTCAGCAGATGCTCAGTAAACAACCTGCCTGGGCCTGAAAAACATATAAAAGACAAGTGTATTTGGCTGGTGGGATGCATTCTTCCAGGTGAGTCAAGCTAATTTTGCAGACCCAATGTAAAGGTGTCCAATGTAAAGGTGTATCAAGTCAGATGCTTTTAATTAGGCTTTCTGACTGTACACGTGTTCTGTTATTGATTCTGAGTGGGCTTTAAACATACCTATGTTTTGCAAATGTAAATAGGAACATCCTTGTAAAACCCCGTGTCTCAAGGGCAAGGATTGTAGCCTGAGACTGTAGACTATTACATGCTGCTGAAGGTTTTACTCCTGGAGTCCACAGTACAGTACCTACAGGTTGCTACTGATCCACTAAACCTGCTGGGGTGATGTGCACTCCAAGTTCTTTCAAGCAAATGCAGTGGTTTCTTCATTCATTTCTGTAGGGGAGGGGAGATGAGGAAAGGCATCCTAAAAAAAGGCTGGAGGTGAGATGAAGAACACCCACCATCAAAGACCCTTGCCGCACGTAGGCCCTGGAAGGAGTGAATGTCTTGCTTCCTCCAGCCAAGTTTTGGACCCTTCCTATTCAAGTGATTGGAATGATTCTTCCATTTGCACATGTCCTGTGTGTGTATGGGGGGGGGGGTACCCTTGGCTGAGGGGGTAAAGCCCTCTCTGTCATCAAAGTCCCCTGGGATAACAAGGCGGGCTTCATCACTGCTCCAGCTGATTTTTGGCAGGCATACTTCCCTGCTCTGTGTTTAAGGGAATACAGCGATTTCTCTACTGTATGGTATAAAGACACGGTAACCTTCTTTGTCAAAAATGCCTTGCTATTTTAAAGCAATGGAAAATGGGCCAGGAGCCAATAAATGAATGCAGCATAAAGCAGGTGGAGTAAACTTTGCTTTGAAATTTACCACCACTTGTAAAGCCAGCTTAGTTCTTTGTTCTTTGGTTTAAAGATGCACTTGTACTGAAGTAATTGCTGTGCAAGCCATTATCAGTCTCTGAAAAACACCCAAATTCCCACTTGTTCTAGTTTTAACAAAGGATGCATGTATTATACAATCTGCATCCAGATTTGCAGTACCTCAGGTTATGACCTACTGCATCCCAAAGAGAAAAAATGCAGTGCTCCAAATAAACAAGCCAAACAAGCCATTATGCAGGGAATCTCTGCATTTGCAATTCCTCCCTGCACCCCACCAGAGCAAACAGCAACTGGAAAGATAAATTTTGGCCAGAAAATGGCATGATAGAAACTGTTAAACACCCGCAACTTTATTTTATTAAAAATAACAACACATGGTTGGATCTGAGACAAGTTTTCAAAGTAAGGTTCCATTAAAATAAATCAGACAAAGTTACTCCTGACTTAACTTTCCCATGATTTCAGTGAGAACTAAGATCAACTAACTTAAGCTGGATCTAATCCAACATGCTGGGAAATCCAAACATGAATCTCCCAAGTAACAGTGCAGGCTTTAAGTGGATTCGAGTATTGTTGTTTTTCACTCTAGTGCAGATCAAGTGCAGAGCCCTGTCAAACAGGATACAAAGTTTAGCGTTGGCAGGAGTTCCAATCATAGTCATCCCACTAGATCAATAACCAAGAATCCTTCTTTCTCCATCTTTACAAGCAGATAAGAAGGTACAGTTCCTATCTGTATGTACCCACATGCTGTGCAGCAGCAAGAAGTTCTCCACCATGGTTGCCATTGATTAGGCATTCAATACCATGAACATTCCCTGTGCCTACTTCTTTCTTCTGCAGCTGGGGATTAGATTACTTCCATAAGAACAGCTCCCAGAATGTTGTATGGACTTGTGCAGAAAAGAAAATATTGGCCACACAATCATTTCTCTCAAAGCAGCCAGTCGGACTTCCGAGTCTCAGCTGTTATACTCAGGAGCCTCGACAGTGCCTTTGAATCATGGAAGTTGGAGTAAAAAGTTTAACTTTGCTACATACCAAATAAAATGTGTTTGGCTACCTATACGGATTAATTGTGTTTGCATCAACATGCTATCTTGCTCTCCCAAAATAGCTGAAAAACAGAGTAAGCTTTCCATTCTGCCCAATGGAGAGTTGGATGCAATTCAAAGGCCTGTACTTTCTTCTAGCCACATCAACACAAGTTATTACTTTATCTGATGGAAATGACAGTTCACAAGAAGGGTGAATTCGTTGTTCGCTCTCAAGCCAGTCTCTGTCTCTTTCTCCCTCTCCTGCTCTCTTTCAGCCTAACTCACTCTCTCAAAGGACTGCTGTCTAGAAAATGATAATAATAATCCCATGTGCAGGCAGGATTCAAATATGATAGAATGATAAACAAGAAATAACAACAGGTGGATCATTATTATTAGTAGCAGTATTTTTAAAAAGTAATTCTGGAAGACATAGAGTTTAAAGAAATCAAAACCAATAGGAGTGTTGCGTTAAGTTGCCCTCCTTCCCGAATAACATAAAAGTGGATTGTTCCATCTGGCTAACTGGTAAATAGTTCTTGTTCCTGTCTATAACATAAACAGGTGGCTTGTTCCAGAGATGACTGTCACAGTTGCCCTGCACATTAAATGATACTAGCAGCACATTAGCCTTGAGCATTTGGTTTTAGTGCTCAGGTCTGGACTTCAGCCCTTGAGGTTCCTGGTACAATCCTGCTCAAGACAGATTAACAACACATCATCCAACAACCCAAGGGCTACCTTAAAATCAAAATAAATGCAGTCTCTTTCACATATCTGTATTTAATATAAATATTTAATTGTCCGTTTAAAATCATTTCAAAGAGATTTGCATGAAGGAGTCAACAGCCCCAGGACATCCAGCTGTTGCTTCAGTTTTCACCATTATCCTAATAACATCATTGATATAACCAGGCATTAATTGACATTGAGAATGCAATCCTATACCTGTCTACTCAAAAGTAAGCTCCACTGAATTCAGTAGGATTTACGACGGTATAGGACTGCAGCCTGATGGATGTAGTCGTTTTAGGAGAGGTTTCAGAGTATACTATGTGCATTTTGTTTCAGTGTAATGCTATGCTATAACCTTTCAAAAACAAGTCCACAAGCATGTGACCTCCAAACATTTTCACATAGACCAACCCCCGCTTATCTGTCTTAGAGCTTGCTAGCCTAAAAGGGGGTAGGCTGAGGAAGTGCCAACAAACTATCGCAAATCCTGAACCTAGACTGTTTGCCATTCTGAATGTTTTTGGCATGCTATCTGCAACAAAGAGAAGGCTAAATTTTCACAGCTCATGTCGAGCTGCATTTATTAAAGGTATCTGGATATATCTTCTGCTGTGAAACTTGTATTCCCCCCCCCCCAAAAGTCATATTTCTATTCACACAGGTGGGTATACATAGTATTTGTCATCTTTCTCAATGGTTAGGCTGCTGAAAAGTCCCATCGGCATCAAATGGCACAGCCATCCAGCCACAGTGAGTAGTCATATCATGAACAAACAAGTGCAGGGCTATCAAACTGAATAAATGAATAATGCCGGTGAATATTAAGATGTGAAGTAGTGCATTGTAACCCTTTTGATAACCCTTTCCCTTCCAGCTACATACGAGTACCGCTCTTTCCCACCTTGTCTCTGTCCACAGCCTTCACTAGTTTATGTTGCGTTTCAGCGATTCCTTTCAACCTACAGACAATGCCTCCATCGTGCCATTTTCATCTTTCTCTAAAACTCATATGTCTGCATAGAGAGAAAGGGATATTTCAAAGAAGGCAAGCCTTTTTCAGGCATTTCATTTTATGTCAACAAAATCGATTCACAGATCATTTGACTCCTCACATTCTTCGTTGACCATGATGGTTAATTTATTCTGGTCCAAATGCTGCCGGACTTGTCTTTGCCAAAGAAATCTCAGGGCCTGTCCAATCCTTTGACTGAAAGCCCGTAATCTCATTGTAAGATCCTCACTGGCCATCAGATACAGCAGTGGGTTCAGGGCACTGTTGAGGCTGGCCAAGCCTCGGGTTACTTGGTAGGCGGTATAGATGTTCCTCAGAGTCTGAGTGCAAGATCCCTCAAGTTGCCACTTACGGGACAGCAAGTTCAGGTTCCTAAAGATGTGATACGGAAGGAAACAGACAGAGAAAAGCACCATCACTAGAACCACCAATTTGATGCTCTTCCGTTTGAGGTTGGGGTCAACGTTTTGGTTCTTCCACAGGACCATGACTATATGGCAGTAGCACCCAATGATGATGAGAAAAGGGATGACGAAGCCAGTCACCGTTACAACCAGGATATATGGCAGGTAGGTGCCCAGGTTCTTGTGCTCAGTGGTGTCATGGCATTTCGTGCCAGTGTGGTCCGTTTTGCTGAAGCTAAAGTCAGGAGAAAGCTGAGCAATCACCCAGCCCCAAACCAAGGCACTGACACAGACGGAAGGGGCAAGTCTCTGGCACCTACCCAGCATCCTCAGAGGGTGCACGATGCCCAGGTAACGATGCACACTGACGCAGGTGAGGAAGCCAATGCTAGCATAAAGGTTGAGGTGGAAAAGAAGCCGAGTCAGCCTGCACCAGCCCCTGCCAAACAGCCACACTCGGCCCTGGAGGTAATAGGACACCAAGAAGGGCAGGGTGACCACATAGAGCAAGTCTGCCACTCCTAAGTTGCACAGCAGCACACTGAGGGAGCTCCAGCTGTTCCTCCGAGAGCTGGCACACAAATTCCACAAGCCCAGTCCATTTCCCAAAAGCCCCAGAAGAGACACCAGCAGGTAAAAAGCGGGCAGGAACCACTGGGCAAAATGCGTGTTCACAGGGCACAGAATCTGGATGTCCGAGGTGATGTCCGCGAGGCTGGTATTGACTAGGCCACCGGTCGCTTTTGTCACCTCCATGTTGAAGCTACATGGGCTGGGAGGCCAAGGGAAGTACAGCTGCCCCCCTGAGGAAGGGGCAGTCTACGGAAGGAGATCCTTCTGGGCAGGTCCCGGCAGGAGGGCAAGGGAAAGGTGCGGCTGCATCAGACGTCCAGGATGGGGCTCTGCAATCTCAGGGAACCGGCAGGCTGCACTGCTGGAGAACCTACGGCGCGCTTTGGAAGGACCTCGGAGCGTCGTCCTGGGACTGGCGTGGATGCAAGAGGGAGTTCGCGAAGGGATGAAGGGCGACAAACCTTCGCAGGAGAGGCTTCGTGAGAGCTCCGCAGGCGGGGAAGGAAAACGGATGCGGTGGACGGAGAATGACACGCGTGCAGGCGCTTTCCTTGCATGGATGGCGGTCCCTGGAAGGCAGCGGAAAGGCAAGCCGCCGCTGTCGCCCTTGGGTTTCCGGTTTGCTGCGTCGCCAGCTCCGGTTCTCACCCCGCGACTCCCCGGAGGGCTGACTCGGAGTGCCCGGGCGTCGCCTTCCGACGTGCTGGGGTCGCGGCTCTGCACGCCGAGTGTCCAGTGCGGCTGGCGCTGCTGGCGGAGCGCGGCGCGTCTGCCGAGCGCGGGACACGAGCGAAGACGGGGCGAGACGGGGCGGGAGAGGAGAGGGCGGCAGCCGGGAGGACTGCAGAGGAGGGCTCCGAAAGCGAAAATGCGGGCTGGGGGTGCGCGGGAGGGCAGAACTGCCGCCGCGCGGCTGTCCCTGCTCTGAACTCTTGCGAAGAGGCCCCCTTGGGTGTACGGCCCGTGCCAAGTTGCTGGCTCTCGCCACGTACTCCTGTTTATACGCACGGCTTACTGGTTCTACGTGAAGTTGTTGGCGCCAAATAAGGAAAGGAGTTGATCAGGAACCTCCACCTCTGTTCTTGGTCTTGGGGAGGGGGGGCGCAGTAAGCACTAGATCGTTTCCCCAAACTGAATGTCCCCCAGATATGCTGGGCTACAGCGTCCAACATTCCCAGCCCGCATAGCCAGTGCTTACCGCACTCACTCCTTCAGCACATAACTTGCCCTTCTCCGGATGGAGGGGCCTTGCCAAGGTCCGTGCCACCTTAGCCTGATGGGAGTCGTAGTGCAACACATCTGGAAGCTCCAGATTGGGGAAGGCTGTGGCAGAAACAAGAAGCACACATCGGGGTGGCCAAAGGCAAGGAATGCGTAAGCTGAGGCCGGCCGGCCAACACATCTGCTGCACACAACGGATACGCGCTCTGCACCACCACACATTATGACCAACAGCTGTGGGTCAGGCATTAATGCTCACGCTTACCTGGCTTCCATGTAAGAATTTGGCATCATGAGAAGCATCTCTTCTTGGGTCCCCTTGTGGTTAATGATTCCTGGTACCCGCCAAGTCAAGTGATGGGGCAGAGTCTTCAGTCAATGCTGTGGAAAGGAGTGTGTGCCGTTCTCAACAGGCACACTTTGAGCTGGAGATCTCCTGCCCTGTATGTTAGCCTGTTCTAAGGTAGATCGAAACAAAAGGGGATCGAAGGTGCTTCCATCTCCTCCTGGATTGTCAGAGATGGTGCCATGTCATGATGCCCTTCTTGGAATACAGTCTGAGGCTGAGGACTCCAAGTATAGCAGTAGGTGGTTGCTGGTTTAAAAACACAACAACTTGTGAGGCCCTAATAGTGTGATCATACAGGTTGTGCTTCTGATGTTTCCCTGGGTGATGCAAAAGTGTTGTCTATTTGATTGCATCACTGTAGAAAAAGATGTCTCATCATTTTCAGAAATTTCCATTTGTGTGATTCCCATACTTGTACATATTCAGTTCTAGCCCTCAGGACTACCAAAAGTAGTCTCTCTGGGCCAAGCACTGCAACATACGGTGGCTTCTGGATGTTGTTTTAAATCTGCTTGTCCAGCTTTTGAACCCCTTTCCCCCACCCTACTTGACCTCCTCCCGTGCATATGCATGTAGAAGGGCTTTGAGTGGGGTGTGGGCGGGCCCTGGGACAGCCACTCCTGCTGAGCTGGCATGGCATTCTTGCCTGTCGTTCATTTTTCCCACAGCAGTGGCACTGGTAGAGTAGCTGGCTGTGAGCAAAGGAGTGTGGCTCATGCACATGTGGGGAGTCATGGGTGCTTGCTGTGCGCACAGGCTGAATGAAGATGTGGCACTCAGCAACTCAGCGTCTCTTGCTGGCAATGAGCGTCTCTTGGCACATGGGTATCAGTCGCTGCAGAATTCTGCCTTGTCAGCTTCTGGGTCTTGTCCATTAGTGCATCCGAGATGTCATGGGCATTGAAAGGATAGAGACATGTTGCTATTCCAGATGTAGACAAAGCCTCAGTTTGTCCAGATCCAATATATGCAGTGTGTGTGTGTGTGTGTGTTGGGAGAGGTGCAGTATTTTCACAGATAGGTTTAAGACAATTAGAATCAGTCACATGCCTTCAAAATGGTTGCCATCTGTAGTTTTTAGAAGCACTTGTATTTAAAAAATAAACATTTAAAAAAGCAAGACTGCTCGATTGAATGGAGACACTCTTTTTAGTTAATTAAAAATGTCTTTTAAAAACCAGTAGTCTAACCAATTAATTAATTTAACATTGCAATCTGAGTCATAAAAAATGACAGCATCTTTGTACCTAGTAAAGACAGTATCACTTTCTTAAGACTCATAGTAATGAAACACAACAAGATGCTTTCCAAAAGCTGTATTTGCCAGGAATTATTGCCTTTACATGGTCCACTGTGTTGGCAAAAATTATGGTACATCTAGATTCCCTACCTAGAATGCTTCATCTGTCTTAGTTGAATTATAACACTGTTCTCAGGCAAAATTGGACATGAAGTTAAATGCTTTTTTGTGTTTCACATGCATGCTCTTTAAAAAAGCACACACATAAATATTATCCACCCATAGGGGTGCCTATGATAATTATCAGGATTACAGCAGATGTGGAAAGTGAACTGGTTAAGGTGACTCCTCTACATATGACTAAATCTGGAGTCAACTTATGGTCCAGAGAAGCATTCCAGGAAAAAGGAGAACTGAAGGTCTGGAGGATTGCCACCAATGTGCACTGGCATATGCGTTGTATCACGTGTCTGACACGCAGTGCCATGTAGATGTGACTGAGCAAATACTAGTATGAGCAATGAGGCTCAGTTTGAATTATGGCACCGAGAGTTTCTTAGTACAAAGTGTCTTTGGATCTACTAGTTTTCATGCCTTTTTTAAAAACTTATCTGAAATAAATCAGCTTTCCCCAACTTGGTGGTTTCCAGATGCTCTGGACTGCAACTTCCTTAGTTCTCAGCCCATGTGGCCATTCCCAGCATTCTGGTGGAGAATGCAAAAGCTGCCGTCCCACACAGCTGGTGGCCACCAGGATGTGGGTGGAGGCTGCTTTAACTCATGTAAAGAAGCACAGGAAGCTCACTGCGGATTGCCTGTTATTTGTCAGCATCGGCTTTTGCTTGTGCTGTTTTTGATACTATTATCGGGGTTAATAAATGCCTGGTATGAGTCTATTTCCAGCATGAATGCTTTCCTTGGCAGCCATGAGGAGGTATAGAGGCTGATAAACAAGCTTCTGCATTAGAACCTTGGCTTGGATTTGCCTTGTTCACTCAGGTTGGGGCCTCATCCAGCAAATTCAGCAGCTGGTTGCAACAGTAGCCAGCCAGATGCCACGGAGATTAGATAAGGCATTAGGGCAAAGTGTCTCACTTACTGTTTGCTTCCAGCACCTCTGGTAGCTGGAGATACTCTGCCTCTGAATGAATGTCTTATTTTTCTAATGTTAGTGACTGACATATCTGTCATCACACAGGTTCATGAAGCCCATAAATGTATTGGGTTAAAACATGCTACCTTTTACCTGGCCTTTGATTAGCACCCTCCCTCATCACCTACACATACCACTGAGGACATCTTTGGAGACCCTCCTCCAGGTTTCTCCACAGGTGGGACATGAAATGGGTGGCAACCAAAGTGAAGGGGACCTTTTCAGCTGTGGCTCTCTACTTAGGGCTTTGTTTCCCCAGAGAGACTTCTTGCATCTAGATCAAGCCCTTCCTGGTGGAAGCAAGTGCCTTTTCCTCCTGGCTAGGTCTTTTCATTTGAAGAAATAGATGCTGATACTGTTTCTTTGCTGGGAGTTGAAGTCCAACTCATCTGCAGGGCACCAGCTGGGGGAAGGTTGGGTAGCCCATCTTTGCCTTTTCCAGGATCCCAGGAATTCATTCCTGCTGTTAGATTTCTGATTATCAAGGGTGAAGCCCTCTTCTCCCTTTACCGCCACCCCAGCTTTTGATTATTTGTTACGGAGCAGTATCTTACAGGGAGGAGACAAGGATGTACTGCAGCTCATGGATGGATGAAGTCCCTGCCTGCACTTGAGAGCTGGCTGCAGAAATGGCTACCATGCACAGAAGGCTATCCCTTGTGGAATGGGACTTCCCTGCAACCTCTTCCTGTCATGCTAGAGAAATTTGGAGAGGGGCACAGTGGGGAAAAAAAGGATGCTGTAGGTGGTAGTCTTCTGAATAGTATGCTAAATCGAGTGCTAGAATATGGGGCGATTTGTGCCCAGTGGCTCCCTATAATTATGCTTGGTCTAATAAAGCCAGGGCTTTCTCTAGAACCAAAAGAGAAGAGAATATTGCTGGAGAAGAGAATAATGCTAGGGAAAGTCACAAGCATTAGAAGGAAAGGAAGACAAACGATGGGATGGGTTGACTCCATCAAGGAAGCCCCAGCCTTGAGCAGGGCTGTCACGGATATGACATTTTAGAGGACTTTCATTCATACAGTCACCACAAGTCAGAGACAACTTGATGGCACGTAACAACAGTAGCAGCAGCAACATTAATTATTATTATTATATGACAATAATAAACAAAAGGGAATAACAAAAATAGCAAACAAAAAGAAACAGGAAGAACTTTTAATAATATATCTATGTATAAGAATCATTTTCATCACCCTTTCTTCAAGAGATAATGAATATAAACAGTTCATATATCTAAAAAAGCATCCATGTGAGATTGATGGCTAATGGAGAAATGTTTAAAGCTAGCAAGGGCAGTAAGATCTTCAGTTCATGACAAGTGGTGGGTGTTTATCCTTTCAGGCTTGACGTATGG